TGTGACATGTGAGGGTGTGGGGTAAGCGACAACAAGGAATGAAAAAAAAGATTAGGATTTTAAGTTAAATAAGGTAAAAGTAAAAATAAATTTACTAAAGGTTACTTTTGGAATACAAGGAGAGAAGGATGTAGTGATGGTGTAAAAAAAAATACTCTTTTTTTTTTCCCTCTCTGCATCAAGTTCTTAAATCAAATAGTGATTAGAAGAAATTCAAAATAAACTTCGACATAGTCTTAAGTTGAATTGAATAAACGATAATGTTGAATAAATAAAATTGAGTAAAATAAATAATTACAATCAGATTATAATAACTTATTGAAAATTTATAAATATTCAAATTTATATTTTAATATTTGTAAATAAATTTTAAATTTTAAATTGTTATATTTAATATGATATTATTTGGTTAAGAAATAGTTGTAATTTATATAAATTTAGTCCATTATAATAATTATTGTTAAAATTATACATTTTATTTTTATAAATTAAAGTTTTATATATTTATTTCATTTATTTAAAAAAAACAATTTTTTTATTAATTTTTTTATATTTAGTATAAATTCGAAAAATTAGACCTTATATACCTAAACTCATTTGATTAACTCGATAAATTAAATGGTTAAATATAAAAATTAAAATATTAAATTTAAGTTATACGTTTCGAATATTATGCAATCCAATTGATTTTATACTAAATATTAGTGCACGAATCTCTATTAATTATATAAAAATAAAGAGATGTGACTGTTTTAATATTCAATGAAAAATATTAACTGCAGAATATGAATGTTAAACCACAGTGATTGTCACACAAGTTTTAATAAGATTAAAATCTAGGTTTTACAACTTATAATTCCATAAAGAAACATAAATTCCTTTCAAAGTTTATATATCTTTCAAAGTTGATAATCTTTGATTTTACTCAAATTAATTCATATTTACTAAATTAAAAAAAATTTCCTTACCTTAAAATCCTGTGCTCATGAAGAAAAGCTGTGTAAAATCAAGAAAAGAGTTAGAAAAGAAGATTACAACTTGCACCAACCAAATAGAATTAGAAACTGGACCACAACATTACATAAATTAGCAATTTTTCTTTTACATAAATCGTACTCTTTTAGATATTTTTGGTGTATGAGATCAGTCTTTTTCAACAAACATAACCTAATGATAATTAAATCTAATGAAAATAAAATTTCAAATTATTTAGTTTTTATCTTAATTATTTGGTCGTTATAAAAGATTGACCGTCTGATTGACGGATCGATACATATTATACACCTATAAACAAAACTAACTGTTAATATATATATATATATATATATATATATATATAAAAGAATTAAAAATAAAACTTAATATATAAAAAAAGTAAAAAAGAAATAAAATTATTTTTTTGTTATGTATGACCTTTGCAATTTAAAAATTACAGCTATTTATTTTTCATTTATATTAAACTTTCTCATTTATCCTAATAAAAATACGTTTTTACGCTGTTGACTTGAGTTTAAAGATAATGATATACCAAAGTTCGGAAACTTATAGTTTAACATTCATAAAAAGAAATTACACCTACTCAACAACTATTTAAAAGATATAATAATATATTGATATTTTAAATTAACAAAATAAAAAAAATCTTAATAAAATATTAATATTTTAAGTCCTCTTAATGATAAAGGTTAATTCAATTTTTGTTGACAACTTAAAAAAGATAGACATATCTAAATTTACGCATCATTTATGAACACAAAATCAGTTTCAGTATATCTAAGCTTCAACATTTTTATCCAAGATCTAACTTTGATTTGTACATATAAAATAAAAATAATACAAAATTTATGATCGACAAACTTTCACTAAAAAAATTGTATCACATGACCATCAAATACTAATACAAATAATTTAAAAAAGATAAGTCTGCCAAAAAAAACAAAAAACTACAGTAAATAATTATTCAGAAAAAGTAATTTGAACATGTATATTATTTTCAAACGTCTTGAATTACTACATTGGTATTATTATTTTTATTGTAATTGTATAGCGTAGCTTGAATGGGTGCATATTCAGAGGCGAAGATATGCATGGTTTCACCAATCTGTATCGAATTCCGTGGACTTGAGACGAAGGGATTGGTGCTTCAATTCCCTTCGCCTCCGCCTCTGCTTCCGCATTTCACGAGGCCACGCTCTCATCACAACACAGCCATTTTCTTTTATCATCAAACTGAATTATTGCACAATCATTTCTAACTATCTTTCATTTCAAACTTTATCTATCTATCTGCTCAACATGATTCTACATTTTACATTCATTCATAAGATATGGCAAAGAGAAAGCGATGATAATAACTCTTTGAATTTGATTCATGGTCGAAAGTGTTGAATGTATGTGTTACTACTACTGGTATATATATTTACAGCAACCTTACAGAGTAAGAAGTGCATTAAAAAGAAGAGAAAAAAGTGAGTATATATGATATAGTGCAAAAGTGAAAAGTCAGAGCAGTGATCGCATATGTTGGTAGTACTAGAACAACAATGTAGTCAGCGCAAAAGCCAGTAATTGAATTGAGAATTGAATAGCATGATCACTCTCACTCTCTTACCTATCAGGTCCACTTTTTCTCCCTATATATTTTGGTTGACCGTATATGCTAGTAGGATGCAGCAGCAGTATAGTAGTAGCAGCAGCAGCAGCATGCAGAGACATTTATGACACATACGTCCAACCAATATCCATCAACTTGGTGTTTGCGTTATCCTTTCTTTATCTGCATGCGCCAAACACACTGCCACCTTAATTCCAGTAATCTATCTCAGCACGCATCTTCACCGCCACCACCATCCACCACCACCCTTTTCGACCCATTGCACTCTTTCAATGTTCAAACCCTTTGTCTGGTTACATCTACGTTTCTCCTCCTGCTTTTTCTGCTTTCTAATCCATGCTGTATTTTATTTTATATCTCTTCTATTATCTCTCTTCTTCTTTTCTTTTCCTTCTTTTAAGGATTTGGTTTTCAACTTTTGTGCCTACTTATCTAGCAAAAAGAACATTCCGCCAAATATATAAAATCAAATCTTACGCCTATTACCCTTTCCAAGGTACACTGTGATTTTCTTTCGCCTTTTGAGATTATAGAACGATTCCGTTCCATGGTAGTATAATTATTTAAAACCATAGAGATGGTTTGAGAATAGCATAAGGAAATAGTAGAAACATGTCTAAACAAAAAGTACGAGAAATACTGGTGTTAAAATATTCCAAATCTAACTTTTCGTCATCAACTTCAATAAATAAAAAAAATACTACTGATCCCAGAACTTTGACAAGACCCGTTTTCTCTTTTCTGTTGATTTTGACATACGGGTAATATATCGATTCCTAAACGTGGATATTTCTTTGGCACCTAAAAGAAAAATGTAGTGTAATCCATCTTCTGACACTCCGTTTCTCTATGCAGTATACTTTTAATCCAGTGAAATTTACGTGCATTCAACTTAATTGCGTTTCCAGATTACGAAAATCAGTGAGAGAAAATATCTAAAACAATGCTCAAAAAAGGAGAGTGTATTAGTTTTTCTTATAAGCAAAAATGTGGTGTTATAAAAGAAGCCTGGCTTACTTACTAACTTGTAATAATTTGCACACAAAATAACCCTTTTTTTGAAACTGTCTCATTTATATCCGCTTCTTCGTGTGTATGCCTTTGGATTTGAATTCGCCAGTTGTTTCACTTTCTTTTTCAAAGGTTGAGAAAAGGCTATATATACATGTTGACAAGCCAGAAGGTTTATACCACCCACTTGCTGTTTCTTTTTGCACTGGTTTCGGTTATTCTCCACGCTGTACGAGTACTTTGAATTTTACAAAAACTGGTTCTATTTCCCCACGTATAAAGCAGTAATCCAAATTGTATTTGATGCGTTTTTCAATCGGTTTTTCGGGAAAAAAGAACTGTGGTGCTGGAAAGCAATACTGTGCCCACAGTAATTACGTTGAATGCGTTGTTACAGTGAAATGAAATGAATTAACAGCTAATGAAGCACTGTTACTCCTAGCTGGTACATGCAACATGACAAAGAACTGGTCAGGCCAGAACTGTTTTTCCTTAGAACCCAACGCAAAGTAATATTTAACTGCTATGTATCCCATACGTTAGTCCTATGCATGAGATTTTTTTGGTCATAATGATAATCATAATGATGCCAATTGCATGACACTTTGGAGAAAAAGAAAAGAATGTAGATGAAAATGGACCACAACTGCTGGGGCATGTTAGGAATTGAAATGAAGAAGGGTGGTCCAATCGGGCGACTTTAGCAGACAAAAAAAGGCATGAGAACATACAGTGGGAAACGATGGTTTTAGAATAATGGTAATAAATTAAGAAGATATGAAGTTCACAGTCACCTTCAAACTCGTTTTGAGTGAGGCTAGATAGGTAGACGTTTCAACCTCATTCATTCATTCATTAATCTCTTTCCTCTGAGCCTATCTGCTCTCACTTCAATTCCCAAAGCCTAGCCTTAACCTACACCTTACAACCCAACCGGCTGTCTTTTTCCTTCAATGACTTTTATGCCCTTCCTTTCCTTCAATGGCGTAACCTACGTTCTTCTCTCTCTTTCTCTCTATCTATCTGTCATTCCCGAGATACAAGACATTATGGGCTTAGGAAAGAGAGAGAGGTAGTGGTAGAAATCAACGTTAATCTTAAACAGCGTCGTTAAATCTACTATGTATGCACCAAAATCAATGGCACGAAGGGGGGGCCATTTGGGCAATTATTGTCTTCTCGTAAAAATTCTACACGTCTTGGAACGAAGACGACGAAACCTAAGCCTCTCTCTGTGCCGCTAACCGCCATGTTTTCAGAGATGTTCTGCACCAAAAACAATACGCATGTTAATCCTCTCTCTCAATTCTCAACCATTTTGTTTCTCCCTACCTACTCTATAAAAAGAGTACCTCCTTCACCACCCATGAGAATAAGAGCACTGTCTGGTGTAGTATACTAATAATCAAATAAAAAACAACCCTTTAATTGCCTCCTCCTACTATAATACTACTACCCAAACCCCCATTACCATTGATTTAATAGAGAGAAACAAGTTAAGATGGAGGAGAGTGGAAACGAAGAGTTGGAGATGGGAGGGTCTAATGGTGTTGCAGCCAGTTCACGGTGGAACCCTACAAAAGAGCAAATAACCATGCTAGAGAACCTGTATAAGCAGGGAATAAAGACTCCCAGTGCTGAGGAGATACAGCAGATAACTGCTAGGCTTAGGGCGTATGGTCACATCGAAGGAAAGAATGTCTTCTACTGGTTTCAGAATCACAAAGCTAGGCAGCGACAGAAGCAGAAGCAAGACACCATCGCTTACTTCAATCGCTTTCTTCATACTCCTCAGCCCTTTTTTTCTCCGCCAATTTGCCCAAACGGTTCGTTCATTCATTCATTCCTTTCTCATCATTCATCATTCATCATTCATCATTCTATTCAATCAATCATTTAAACTGTACAATTTTTCATCTTTATATCTTCACTCTTCTTTCTTGCCTTCTGCTTTTGATTGATTAACTACTGTTTGATTGTTATGTCACCAATTCGTCTCTTCATGCAAATGTGCTTGCAATTGGTATATGTGTTAATTAAATAAAGCAATAATAACAATAGTTATTCTCTTTTTAATTTTCTCTGTAGAAGATTATCATGTGTGTTCTTCAAATTCTTCTAACCAAGTTATCTCTCTCTACATTTAAACCTGAGATCGAAATAACTCGTATCAACTGAGATCTACATACTGCGGTTCTTTTAACAGTATTTATTTCTTCACAAGTAACTGAAATCATCTTAAAAGTCACTGTCTCCACTTTTATGTAGCCAAATCATGATAGAAGGACAGCTGTTTCTTTTGCTTTCTGTTTTTTTCTTTTGTTTTCTTCCAAAAGCCTTTTTTTCACATCTCTCTCTCACACACAATGTATCTATATATCTATATATATAGTACATCTTTTTCAAAATTCAAACTGTTACATCTCTTTCTCATTAGTCACATATTAATTATATTATATAACCTTGGTAGTTGAGGGTGTTTTTGGTTTTCAGGCCTGTGTCCTCCGTATTGCATACCTCAGGTGCAGAGTGAAAATGGGTTTTATCCCCCACATCCAAAGGTGCTTGTACCAGTAGGTTTTAGGAGAAGACCATCTGAGATATTTGTGCCCACAGACATGTCAAACGTTATCAGCAACGGTCCGCTGTTATACGAAGGAATGCAACAGAGAATCTCGGATTGCAACTTGAGCTACAGTAACCAAGAAACGTTGGATCTTTTTCCTCTGCACCCAACTGGTATTTTGGAAGGGAAAACAACATACCAGGTGTCTTCTCTGGCTTCAGTTTCTGCTGATAGTTCCACTGATATCAATGAAAATGATCCTTCCCCTCTTAACAAACCCTTCTTTGATTTTTTTACTACTTCTGGACAAGGTTCTTAGAGACTTGTTCTATGTCATTAGCTTAAACTTCTAACATGCAACTTTGAATTCCCATGGCTCATCACTGAAATGTGTTTATTATGTGCCTTTCAGTTCATTGTAATGAGATTATTGGTGCCTCTTTTTAATATATTATTATTATTATCATTTTATAACTTGACATATCCTTGTCAACCTGGCTTATGTTTCTGCCATAATTATACTGTCACCGTTTTGCTTGCCGCTCACTCATGAAATAATTCTTTTTGCTGAATACTAAAAGCAAACGAGATCGATCTTTTTTAACACTTTTCTTTTTGGGAGCTTTTATATAAATATTTATTTTCATAAATGTCAAATATTATAATACAACGACAAGGATCAATGAGTGTATCTTCGAAAAACTGAAATATAAAAACAATTCCAATATTAAATGACCCCTAAATGATATCAAATAAGAGAAAAAAAATAAGTCATGAATGATATGGTTGTAGAAAGAGAGATAGAGAAAAACTTCAGGGATTTAAAAATAAAAGGTGTTCATCAATTATTGGTTTTTAAGATTTCTGTTTTCGGATCTATCCTATGTTTCTTGGCTAAAATATTTCTTACTGACTTTTTTGGTCTATTCTATAGCCATACAAAGTTTCACAGACACGTATTCTGTGGTGTTTCGTATTTTTTTAATTCTTTTTTAGTCTATGTTCCGTGGTCAAATTTTAAAATGACACACGTTTTTTTTTGTTTGTTTAATAAAAAAGGTGGAAATTTTTTAGAATTTAATTCAATTATTGAATCATAAGTAAGATATTAAGTAGAAATGAGTGAAATGAACAGAAAAAAAAATCTAAAAATTTCTCCTGTTACTATGATTGATCCGTTACCATTATAATGGTCAAAGAAATTGGATATCCATAGTTAGATTTGAATTTAAGAGGTTAATGACTTGAATGGGTTTCCATTGTGGGTGGACACTTTTTACTCGATTTTTCAGATACTATCTATTTAATGGACATTAACAGTATTTAATTTTTGTTGTGTGGGAATATTCTGAAATAATTTTAACTATATTGTAATTGCAAGTTAGTATTTGATTGAATGAGTAGAGATACTCGTTATGACACGACAAGAATAAAAATAATTTAAGAAGGTAATTTTTTAAATAAATATTTTCCATGTTATTTATTTCCGAAATAAAAGTAAGCAATAGATAAATAAAAACTTAGCTGTAGTTATTTTTGGATTTTTTTATTCTCTTTCCTCAAAGTGAAAAAAATAATTGAAAGTAAATGATGTTTTCTCGAAATATACTAAAACGACCAAAACACTTGAACGAAAAAACAGTTGAAGTTTTGCCTGTTCTAAAATCGCAATTCTGAATCCAATTTATTTTCTTAGGCAATAAAAAGGAAAGGAATGGTTTAACAAGTTGAGTTGGTGGTCCCAAACCTACAGTTCTTCTTAAAAGAGACAATGTGTCCCTACTGCTACAGTATACTATATATTCATCTATTCCTTTATCCAATCCAATCCAAACCTTTTCTTTCCAATTGCATGTACAGCATCTATTGTTCTGAATGAATAGCAATGTTCAAGCTTATGAAGATGCTTTTAGTGTTGTGAAGACTCTGTTGTGTGAGGCTTTTTTAATAGATTGGTTTCACACATGAGGTCACTAAGTTTGGCTATTCATATTGATTTCATTGTGCTTTCTCGCTCTGCTATATGTTTCAAAGGATTAGGAGTGCTAATTGGAATTGAATTAAAATGAACTTGTGTTATATCATTTAGGAATTAAAGTTTAAAGCAATTTAAATATTTTTTTGGTTCAAACATCTTTTAAAGATAAAACCGTGATAGAACACAATAAGATGTAACGCGAGAACAATAGTAAATAATTCCACTTTCCAAAAAAAGTTAACATGTTTTACAAGTTTAAAGTCGTCAAACAGAGAGCTTGTTTACACCTTGTTCACTTAAATGGATTTGAGCGAGAGTAATTGAATGGATTTGAAAGTAAATTTTTTGTTGTTTATTTGAGTGAATTTTGGAGGTAAGTGAGAGTGGATTTAGAAGTAAATTTTTTTAATTTGTCACATCAATCAAATCTTATACTAATTCTCACAAACTTTACTTCCAAATCCACTCTCACTTACCTTCAAAATTCACTCAAATAAATAAAAAATAATTTACCTTCAAATCCTCTCAAATTCATTCAATCACTTTTTCCTAAATCCATTCAAGTGAACAAAGTTTTATTCTTTTCGACAAGAAAGAGACATGGTCTTATTATTTCTTCCAAAGATTACCCTATCAAATAGTGAGCATGAAGCTCTCATCATTACCTTTCAACTATGATTTTTAATTACCAATGACTGTGTTCCATATTGATTATATGATCAATGTTAATGGACATTGTTTTGTAATTGATTTTTCAGCTTTTTTATACTAAGAATTAGGAAAGCACTCAATTTTCTTCGTTGTTACTAATATAACAAAAATGAGTACATAAATTACTATAACTATAAAAGAAATGACATATATTTAAAACATTACTCTTCGTTCCTTCAAATTCTTGAATTCATCAATCATTGAATCAAAAATAAAATTTTTAGCCATTTTTTTTAATATAGATAACTATGTTGTCTACAAACAAATTATCATCCATTTTATTTTACAATCTTGTTTTCATGATCTTTATTATAGAAAATAATCATTATGTTGTAGCTTTAGAGACATAAAGAACTAAAATAAGACAGATTAAATTATCGATCAAGTAAAATATCTTTGATTTCTTTGTTCACATTAAAGATGGACATAATTCAAATATGGTTGATAAAATAAAATGTTAAAATTGAAATTTTAAAGTGATATTTTATCCACATATATCCTCAATGTCCACATATATCCTCAATGTCAAAAGCTTTATAAGTTGTTCTAATTTCATCTCTTTGATTTATTGGATATTTTAATATTTAAGGACGTTTACCTAAATCACGTTTCAAAAAATTAAGAAGAAACTCATCACTTGTAATTTTTTTTTGAATATTTAGAAGGAACTTCTCTAATAAAATGTATGGAATTATTAATATCATGTTTCCGAACATGTGAAGAAGTTGAATTTGTATTATTTCATCTTCACATGTATTTTCATTATTTATTGAAAAATAAACTATCATAAGTAAAAAGATTAGGAAACAACAAATAATAGTTAACTTTTTCTCTTATGTTCATAAAAAAATTACTATACAAAATATTTATGAGGTAAAAGATATATTATACTAAATATTTCACTATATGTAGGATAAGAAAGAGTTACATCTTTTTTAATAATGATACTTAAAAGATGAGAAATGAAAAAACAAATATAAATGAATTTTGATGATTATAGGTAGGTTAGGTTGGATAGGGTTTGAACAAATTTGTTATCTTGGATAGTGTTGTACTTTTATGTTAAATTAAGTCATCATATAACCTGACCTAATAAATACATAATTAGTAAGTATAATTTAAGTTTGGATTACAAAATTGTATTTGCATTATTATACAAAAGGCAAATTCACCAAGGTTAAAAATAATTTTCTATTATAAGTCTCAAACCATCATTAAATTAATCGTCGTTAAAAATATCGTTGAAATGATAACGGTTAGATTTAACCGTCGTTAAATATTATTAAAAATACATTTACATTTAATTTTATTTAAATTCCATTGAAAGTTGTTTAATTGATAAGTTTTCATTGTTACTGTAGTATCATTTATAACCCAACTATAAAAAATGCAACGTGTACAGTTGGTTCGGGCCGGGTCAAGGAGATTGGTTATGGGAACCCGTGGCCCATGAATATTTTGAACAATTATTACTTGTTCCTATGTGGATCTGGACCTCGCTAGTTTGTAAGTTGTCATCGTCATTGAATTTAGGTATAAAGATAATTTAATTTGGACTTAATTTCCGGAAGAAAAACTTGAAAAATTTGTTTTTCAAAATAAAAACAAAATAAACATGTAAAGACAAAATAAGATTTTACAAAAATAAATTCCCTAGTTATATCAAAGCATGATGATATTTTGACAACATTTTAACATTATTTACGTGTCATTCTATGATTGGTCCATGTTGATGTTTATGATTATTATTATTAATTATGAAATAATTTTGAATCAATCACAAAATGACACGATGTTAAAATATTGTCAAAATTTTTTTGTTAAAGTATCATTATCCCTGTATCAAAACTTCAACTAAGTGGAAAGTCCAATTTAGATTTTTCAGAAGATAACTTACTTAGTTCCTTCGATTCAATTCCTTAAAGTGAAATCCAAGAAGAAAGGGAGAACTTTTTGACAAACCAATAAAAGAAACAAGAAAAAAAAATTAGAAATTTAAATACATTGAGAAATTATTTTATACTGTTGGTGTAAACACCATTATCTATTTTTATGAATTAAACCAACTCAAAATTACTTTGAGATTCAATTAGTCCAGTTATTCGTTGAACTCGATTATGTACCAAATTTTAATTGAAAATTAAACTGATCATTGAGTTGTATAGTTAAATTCGTTCACTTAATGGACGAATTCAATATAATGATTTTTTATTCATTTTTATATCAACTTGTTTTTGCATGAAATAAATATATGAACTGACAAATGTAAGGCTATCAAGATTTTATATTAAATTACGTGGAATTAAGTTAATAAGCAAAATCGTATAGTAGATTAGCTTGAACCCACTAGTGCAGAAAGGGCCATAGACGTCCGTTCTTTAGGCTTTTTGACGTCCGACGTCTTTACAGGTGACGTCTATGTAGACGTCCGTTGTGTCAGGCCGGACGTCTATATAGACGTCTGTTGTGTCAGGCGGACGTCTGTATAGACGTCCGCTGCGAACCTCTCGGACGTCTATACACTACTGCAGAAAGGGCTTTATTAGACGGGTTATTTAGGGTTATTTACGGGTTATTTAGGATTACAGGTTTTGGACGTTTTTTTGTGCACTGCAACACGTCTGAAGAGCAGATTCGAAATGAAAATGGAGGGAGACGGAGGAGTAAACGACCTAAAACGTAGGCCAAAAACGCCGCCCAAGAACACTCTACAAACTGCACAAAAATGCACAGAAAAC